CACACACACACCACCCGGGTTTTTTTTAATAGAAGGAAACCCAAGCAAAGAAACAAACAAAGTTGGGTGGCGCAAGTTTTTTTATATTTACTTAATATTTCAGTCTGTTGAGAACAGATTATTAAGCGCTAGCGCGCAGGGCAGCGGCGGTGCAGCTAAGGAGAAGTGCGCGAGGCTGCGTGTGCCATTCGTGTGTGTGTGTGTGTGCACGGGGGTGCATGCACACCCTACTTCAAGTCATATTTTTTTTTAAGGTAGCTGTGTGCGTGATCTTCGGTGTTTATATCTCGTCACAGTTCCGTTTTCCTGATTGTCTTTGCCACGCGAGCTCGGACATAAATATTTTCAGGTTCGCTCATTAAAATCGTCTAATACCCAAGAACTGTTCAGGGTTAGTTTATAACGACCGTTTTTATCTTGTCTTTTTTAAATTCTATTTTTGAGAGCCTTCAGAGGCCCGTAAGTGTGTTTTCTTCTTCTCTCGCTCTCTTCCAAGCGTGCGCGCGCGGGCACATGCTCGCGCGCACTCCCACTCTCTTTCTCTTGCTCTTCGAGTGTTAATGAAGGAATTTATTTAAGTATAATATGTAAATATTAGACTAATGCTATTTATAGATGAAAGTAGCGTATGGGTGTAGCAGGTAGATGTTCTGAGTTAGGTACTATTTGACAGACACTCAGGCGCTTAAGATTTATTAGTGCTATGAAATTGCCAAACCTTTAATATTTAGTTTGTATTCTTCATACTGACAAGTGCACGTGCAAATTCAAGTATCTGGAAGTAAATATATTTTACAGACGCTTTATGAGAAAACTGTTCCTTTCACTTGTGTTTGTAAAGCAGAATGCTTTCCTCTCCACTAAAACAATTGGACGCTTATGTAAAACGTTCTAATATTTTCCTTTTATTTATATCCGTGAATTTAAGCGTATAAAAGAACAAATCCAAACGACCTTTTTTTCCCACAACCCCCCCAAAATAATTAGAGTGTACCTAGCGACTCGTGCAAAAGCAGTTTTAAATTCAGGCCATTGACAGTATTGTATCAAAAGCATCCCCGTAATGGCATTGCATTTGAACTGTTTTATGGCAACATAAACTGAAAAACAACTCATAACTTTAAGTAGTAAAGCTGTATTTATTGGCTGATCAAGCCCAGAGTAAGTAGAGTACGTTTTGGTGAATTGTGGAGATTAAGGAAGGAATTCAGGCACGTATGGCTTGGTAATGGCTAAAATTAATTTCTTCAGAGTTCTTTTTAGAGGCCTATACTAGCTGCAAATAAAATATTAGTTGAGGGTTTTAACTTGGAGTAGTTCTTATAAGATGGGGCACTGTTAAACACCCCTTCACTGAGAAATTTCGGGCTACTTAATGATACTCCCCTAATGATGCTGTTTACCCAAAGAGGATTTCTTTTCTTGGGCTGTAATACCCAATAAATGTTGGGGTTGTTTTGTTGCTGAGGTCTAGCATTTAAAAGAATATAAAATAGCTTATGGTGTTTTAGTTTGTTATTTTGTGGTGGCTTGCTAGAAATAGTCACGGTGAAAATTAAGAGCAACAGAATTGTGTTATTACTGCTTTATTTCACAGTGAGCGTTTCTTTGAGCATGCTGTAAATGAACATAGCAGTGCATAAGGATCACGTGTATGTTAATTGAAGAAGAGGGATTAAAATCAGTTCATTAGATTGGCGAATTCCAGTTTTTAAGTTTCAAATTATTTTAGTCTGCAACTTGAAATTTAACTGCTGATAGAAATATTCAGCCCCTCAGATGAATGCATTTAGGAATTATGCACACAGACTAAAGCATTTGCATTTTGAAAGTGTTTTATGTTGGACTGCCAAGTATTTTTCTACAAAATGTTTGGTGCATGGAATGAAAAACTGAACGTATAGGCAATAGTTTTCTTAATCAAAATATTTTTTTTTAATAGGTGAAGTTTTGCAGATTTTCAGATAATAATTTAGTGAAACACGGTGAAAATAATCTAAGATATACTGTTATAGCAGGAAACTGTTTTTACTCCAACTCTTCCCCCCCCCCCAACCTTTCTTCTTGAAAAGGATTTGGTTCTTATTTAAGGTGTTACTGGTAAATGAGCATTCTGTTCTTAAACTCCCACCTCTCTCGACTAAAAATACATCTTTCACCAGATGATATTAACACAGAGAAAGCCAGGAACGCAAGAGAGAAAGGTACATGTGTTGTAGGCCTGTGAATAATAGGAAGTCCTCAACTCGAGAGCACTGTTATGCGAACGGCAGAGAGTAGCTTTCGATAAAACAGGACAAGCACAGCGTACAACGTTTCAGCAAACAGACGGGCTGTGATGGGTTAGCTATTTTCAAGGATGGATGCGTGGCACCCTTATTGGGGCTGAACTGTCTTTGAAATTAATTGGAATTTTGCCTGGATGAACACTGCAAGGTTTGGACCAAGGTAAGGGAGGTTTTACTGTGGGCAAAGGAAAGGAGGAAAAAGGGAGTAGGTGGAGTGAAGACAGGGAAAGGGAATGGAGCAGGAGTTGCCGCTTTCAAATACAGTTGCAGTCCCGAGTTCTTGCCGTCATTGAGCATAGGAGATAACGTGTGAGCGGATTCTGTTTGGTATGGCTGTATTGGTGCAGCACTGCCTTCTCCTCGTGTGTGCCAAGTATTCATAAACATTGTGTAGCAGCTAAAGAGGAATAAGAGGAGTGCAAGGAATGCCTTGTTTTATCCAGATTTCTTTTGAAGGATTTGGGGGGGGGGGAGTGGGAACTAAATCACATCCACTAAGTGTTGCAGCAACTGCCCTGCAGACAGAATGGTTTCACTGTAATCGGCCTTGTTTCCATGTGACACGTATTCTTGGGGTATAGTAAACCTCCGCAGGGTCTGCGAGGTGGTAAAGCAGTGTTCAGAAGTCTCCTGTGCACATGGGTGCTTAGGGCATGGGCAGGCCTGGGATCGTGACACCTTCCCTCGAGAAAATGGAAATGTGCTCTAAGTAGACATTTTTCTTCCTAACTGCATGAGTCGCTTGCAGCTTGAAACAGGTGCAGGTAATCAGCGCTCCTCCTCCCCCTCCCCCCCCAAGGTGGTTATTGTGGAGGTATAATAGATCTAACAATGTAGGACTGTGATACGATTATAATTTGGTTTTGTGGAGTCTACCTGGCCGAAAAGAAAAAACAAAAAGCGGTTAGAAGTACGATTGCATGGCTTTGTTTCTCAAATAGGGCATATCGCATAGCTACGAAGAAACGTGTTTTCTGGGTGTTCGTAGAGCATGCGTGCTTGTGCACGGCATTTGACTTGTGCAAAGATACGTATGCTTTCATTCAGTATGCCTTCAGCCAGCTGGGCTCAGGATTGTGGCCCAAAGAGAAAGTTACTCCGATACCTTGAAATCTCTGTAAGCAGCACAGTAGATGCTCATAGGTAGAGTGATCCCAGAAGATATAAAATGGCGGGGTGGGTTTTCCAAGCACACGGGCGCTTTTGCTGGTTCCAAGCTTATACCGCGGTGAACCGTACTGGCTGTGTAAATCTGCGCTTGTTTGTGCATTTAGCTCGGCGCCTGATCGAAAATAAGATGCTTTCTGTAGAGTTTGAGCTTTGGATCAAGCCCTGAATGAACCCAGATATTCATTCACATTGAACGTGTGCACGTCTGTGGGTTCGCTAATCAGTCTGGCCAATAACTTAGCAGCAGCGAGCAAAGCACTTCATGATTTTCACAAGAATGATGCAGAAATTTGTCCTCAGCTGTTCTGCCCTCATCGGCGTGTTTAAAAACTCCTAGTGACCGCAGTGCTGTTAGGATTTCATGAAAATTTGACACACAGTCACTAAAACAGAACGTGATTCTGATGCCTTGATTTGTGTATTTGATGCATGTAGGAAGGAATACAATGCCCGGAATCGGGCCCTTTGCTGCCTATCTATCTTTTAAAAATACATACCGTCAGATACAAGCTCTCATCCTTCCGCGTTGCCCTTTGTAAAAAGAGCCTTTTTTCACAGAAGATTAGTGTTCCCGGTTGTTTAGTAGGCATATGCTCTTCCCTCTTGCATACATTGGAAATTTGCTGTGCCGTACCTCTGGAAACAAAGGATCTGATCCAAAGGCCTGTTCAGGCGACGGGGGTTTTTCCATCGACTTCAAATGGGATTTAGATTAAGTTTATATACATAATAGTTTGCAATAATGATCCGGCTACCAGAGCGATTTTTTGGCTCTTCCGCAAAACTTTTCAAAACTCTCATAAAAATCGTCCAGGACTGACACTCTGACGATGCATGTTAATACACCGATCGTGTTAAAAGAATGGGGGGGGGGGGGGTGT